ACATCAGTGCTCTCTATAAATTGACTAAAACCGGCCCAAATCATTGCTCCAGATATGTTTGGCCTCTGCCATACCAGCCGCCACCATTTTCAAGTCGGCTCTCGACTCTCTGTGTCGTCAATGTCGTGATTACGCCACTTCAGGCAAACATGTTGGCGAGACTCATTGTGGACGAGGGGGGGTCCGCGGAGTAGATTTGGAGTTGTGGATAGAGAGGAATGAGGTCGATGTGGTTTTGAAGCTCTTTTGCGTCATGGGCTTGCTGCAGATCAGTACTAGTCGGAAGTCCAGACCGTGACCACGACGAAACAGATGGAGGCCTCACACTTGCTCGTCACCTTCAAGTTTACCTCTCCCGCAGAAATTTCATGCGACGCCAATTGACTGGCGCCGCCGTATACCTACTTACTTCGTTTCTAGGCAGAGCACTATGTCTCTACATGTCTAATACCATCATTGTGTTTCCCGCATCTCCTCCAAAAGTTGACGTCTATGTTGGAATAATAACTACTAGTATTGGGTCTCTATTAGAAGCACAAACTGATTGTTCTTCTCCCACTCCCTGAATTCGGCTTGCAGGTCTTCGCCCAGAGGACACTGGACGCCTGTTGTGAGTTTCAAACTGAGATGGAAGAGATATGCTGAGTGGATTGCATCTAGATGCAGCTTCCTACACTGTGCAAACTTCTTCAAGACTCCCTCCGTGAAGGTGAAACGACCAGCGAGTGAAAATAAACCAAGGCGGGGCACCAGTGCCGGACCGTGAGCGACACGGTCATTGCCCGACGCGTACAGTGTGAGGCGTGCCAACAGCTCATCCGTTACGAGTGGCGGAAGGTCAGCCTGAGTCTCGTACGAGTCTACAAGGTACAAGTCCTCCAGAACTTCAAGTTGTGCGAGAATATTGCAGAGGTCGCTTGTCGCTAAAGGTAGGTCGATACTGAGGGATGATAGAGATTGTCCGAGCTCCGAACGCTGGACGAAGCTGCAGAATTCCGCTTGGTTCCAACATGGGTGGATCGTTGTCACCGGTGAATGTTCCTTCAGTATCAATCGCGTCAGCTCGGGAAAGCAGAGCGAAGCGAGCACGCGTCCCAGACTGTGGGTGGTATCTGGGATGTCCGCTGTCCGAACCCGCAGCGTCAGCAGCTTACTCGCCACCCTTTGCGGCTGTATCAGCGCCGTCGGGCGGGTTGTTATTCAGCCCAAGATATAAGTCCAGCAGTAATGTGCTGCCAGATGGAAGGCTGTCCAGGCGCAAAAAGCGGAGATGGGCCGGATCGAAGGCCGTCTTATGCGTGTAGAACGAGAAGTGTTGCAATTGGCTCCATGGGAGTGCAACGATGCAATTTGCCAGTCCGGTATACACCACCGTTTGTAGCATGGGCATTCGAGAAATAGTCGAATGCAGGGGATGGTGGCGACGGCCAATAGTCAGGGGTGGTAATCTCCAAAAATTCTAGGCAGTCCAAACGGTTTTGGATAGGAGCGAGCAGCGTCACTGTCTTGGCATTGAAATCCAGAGTAATGTCCTTCCACCGGGTGATTGCTTTATGAGTGACTCTAGCAAGCGACGAAGATGTGTGTATCTAGCACCATCCGTCCAGATGGAGGCCCACGTTGCTTTGACTTGTAAAATCAGCGGATATTGACCGCCTCGAGACGAAGCCGTTTCAACCAAGTTCAACGATGTTTGCAATACAGCCATTGACGTGGTCAAAAGACGGCCATTGACAACAAGCTGGCTCCAAAGACTTGGCGTTGCTAGTGCTACTTCCCGCCAGCGCAAGGAAACCTGGGGGGAATCAGCGCTTGCCGATGTCACTCATGAGATGAAGATTGAACTCACTTGCACGAGAGTGAAGGTTTGGATTAACCACCTTCCTCAATGCCTCTCGAGGGTCTATGATTGCCTCCATAGTGTCGCACATCTCCGCAGGCGACACGAGTACACATAGCTCAAAGATGTAGGCTAGAATCTCGATTGGAAGGAAGCGGATAGGCGACGTCAGGAGGTTTTTGCACTGAGTTTGGTATAACACAGCTTGGGCGCGTTCCTCTTTGGCCGTCTGAACGAGTCCTTCGAGCAGAGCAAGGTGAGCGTCATACCCGGCAATAGTCGCAGCCACAGCCTCGAGTTTGGCAGGAATATCCGGAGGAGTTGGCAGATTCAAGCGGGTTATGGAACGGAGGTTTTCGATTTGGGAGGCAGAAGGCAGGCCGAGCGCCTCCGGGCGGAACGAACAGACAAAGCAGTTTGTCATGGCGGTTAATGGTAAAAGTGTGATCCGTGACACATTCTTCTTCCGCACCTCCACCACAGCCCTTCCGGCCCCGAGAACCCGTCCATCCCTTCTCCTTGACTCATATACTCATCGTACACCAGCTACGCGAGCAGCTAGGTGCGTTTCACGGTTCGCCACGCGAGGTTTAGCTGACTTTGCTCCGCCTCAGCAGACTCTCTTTCTCGCTTATGCTGAGCGGCACTACTGCCCCGACCAGCGGCGGGCGCAAGCTGTTGGGCGACGAGAACTTAGTGTGACATGGCTGGATTGTGGATTGCTGGTGTTAATGGTGCGTCAAAGCACGATCTTGTCTTCCTTTTTTTTTGCTGACACTCTTTCTGCACAGATTCCCTTCAAATCCCCGTCCGATGACTACAACGGGGACAGCACATTCAATATCGCCAACTTACGAGTCCTGCGCTGCCAGGAAATACTCGCGGGTCCCACGACAACGACCGGGAAACAAGCTCCAGCTACGACTGGGTATGGCAGAGAGGAGAGAAACTCTCTCTGAAACGGCCAGCGTTGGTGCGTCTAGCATCCTTATCGCAACTGCCAGTAGTCTTACTATGCTTTTAGGCAGACTGGAAAGCGCCAGCGCTATAGCCTCCTGGTAGCACATCCACCAGGCACGAGCAACATTACCGTGTCTGGTGCCTCGTCATATTCCCTCCTCTGTCCTGTCGACACCTTTGCGTCCGTCTTTCCTGCAATACGGTCTGGAAGAGGCGCTGTTTTCCTTGAAAAGAGGACTATTTTCGCCCATTGCCCCCAAATGATGACCGTCGCGACAACCCAGTCCAATACCATACTTCGCCCATATACAACACCCACTCGTTTCTCCAAATCTGCGCAAGCCCAACTCCTGCTTTTCGGGTCATTTGCAGAGCCTATCCCTGCTTTGACGACACCTTTTTGTCGACTTTGAAGTCGCATGGCCTACGCCTCTAACGACTGCATCCCATGGCTCATTCGACATCATTTGCGCTGCTCAATCACTTTCAGGTACCGCAATCGGCGAGAAGGGTCTCGTTGACGCCGTTTTCGATAACGATGACGTTTGCACTAGTATCGACTTTGCTTCCATCTTGCAAGCAACGACTACCCCAGAATTTTTCTCTCGATAGCCCTTTGCATATACCCTCGTCCATCCCCCGCGTCATCCCTCTACGGTCGTGTTCGACATGGTTCGTGCAAGTACACCATCGCTCCCCTTCTAAATGCGCTTTCTATTACAAGCTATCATGATGTAGGCATGTGTAGCATAGCAAACAACGATGAAAACAAGTGGAACGACTAATGAGGAAGAAAAACTTGGGGATGGATGAGAAGAGGAGTATCGAAAGGAAGTAGTGCGAGTAGCCGAGGTCATTGTCAGATACAAAATGGCATGTCAGGAGACTTTGCAACTTTTCGCCTCCGTGAGCTGACAGGATAACGCCGTGCCCAGTGCGCACCGTTGCCGCCAGAAGCGACCAGCGGTGTCCGCAGGGATAGCATCGTTCCTCGGAGTCCACGCTGGGCGTCGTTTGCGGAGCACGGGTCTTGGGCGCGAGCAAGCCGAGATTGCAGAAGAAGAAGGAGAAGTGGACAGGAAGGAGGCAAGGTCTGGGATAGGGATATTGGCGTTTGGCGGGCGGTAAGGATGTGGTGTGGTGTCGCCGCTAATGCTGGACTGGAGAATTTGCTCTTCGATTTCACCCTTCCCGGCGTCGCCCCGAGCTGCTACCATGATGGTCGCTGCGCCGTGTTATGGCGAAGGCAGCAAAGCGGGCGACGTCGTGGATATAGAGCTCGTCGTCGTGAGCGGCGTTAACGATGGTTGGGGTGTCGCAATGATGAGCGGCCATTGCAGCTCGCCTTTGAGTGGATCCAGCCGTCGCTGCCAAGGAGGGCTCGCAGTTGTGAGTGAGCCGCGGCAGGCATAAGTGCAGGCGAAACGCCGGTGACTGTCATCGTGGTCGGTCACCCATCTTCATCGTCAATTTGGTGGGGGACAGGTTGCCCACAAGGGCTGCAGTTCTGCATATAGACCTGGGCTGGCCGTTGGCGACATAGAGCTCGGCCGGCGGGCGAGGGATGTCTGGGTAGGTAGTTTCCCATTTGTCGTGTCTTTCCAAAATGTCAGCATGGAATGTGAATGCAGAGCTCAACAACGCACTTGATGTGCGCCCTCGCGCCCTTCCCTGCGCCCAGTACGTTTCCTCCAATGCTCCCTTTAGTGCTGGCTGCCGACAGAACGACCACAAGGCTTTCGCCTCTGTAACTCCGTCAGCACGGCTTCCCAAATCCGCCTGGGCAAAGACGGCCACGCACGATGATCGCGAGGCTGCGGATTCTCCACGGCCGTGCATTGGGGCGGATAACGTGGTCGACGGAGGAGATGTCTTGACGGTGGTGGTGCTGAAGAGAAAGTGTCACAGCATCTGTTGCTTGATTCGGAACGACCACTTACCGCTCTGACATCCGACTGAAGCGCACAATGTTGGCGGCGCTGACAAGCCTCAAATGCTGTCTTCATGCTGTCGTGGCAGCATCATGCTGTTTCTTCTCGCCGTCCTCTCGTCGACCCGCGCCAGCTTGGGGCCTTTCGCCGCTCCGCTTTGCAAGATGATCTCGAATGCACCGACATAAACGACTGCAGGCGGCTCTTCGACATCGTCTGGGGCTGTCTGGTGACGATCTTTCTCTGTATATGGGTCTCCGTCCACCCAAATGTCCCGCCTCCCCGTCTCGCGACCACAGAATGCAGCTGGGTTTCGAAGCTGGCTGAAATGGCAGGTTGTCGGCAAGAATGGGCCGCTGCTGCGTCGGCTGAAGCTTATGTCGGTGGCACTCATTGCGCCTGAGCTCATTCTTGGCTTTGCGGCCAGACAATGCTTGATGGCGCGGTCTTTCTCACAAGGTGTGGCTCGAATTTGCTCTCCTTCAAGTGTTGACCCCTCCTTTAGACTACGGGGTCCCGCTGACCCATGGCTTCTTCATCGTTATGGGCGGCTTTGTCGATGTTGATGAACATCCTATTGTGACGAAGGAGCAACTGTCGACACCAAATGTGGTGCAAGAAATCCACGCCGTCAAAAGAGTCCGACATCGATGACAAGAGCAAAGGGGACCTGTTCTCGAAAGGCATTGCCCTTTGTCAAGGGCTTTGGTTTATCGCCCAGTGCATCGCACGAAGGCTGCAGCGGCTCCCTCTAACGTCGCTCGAAGTGGCCACATTGTCATTCGCGGTGCTCAACGCGCTGACGTGGCTATTCTGGCTGGGTAAGCCGCTCGATGTGCGCAATCAAATCAAGCTTCCTGTCCGCACCAGCCCCCCAAACCACACCGCCAGCCCTCCGTACCCCGCCAGCGCCTCGTGGCTCGACCGCTTCCTCAGTGTATTCGTAAACGCCTACCACGAGGCCGACTACGATCCCCTGTCCAACACGGCGGTTCCCACGTTCTGGTGCACCACCGTATCCAATTACATCGACATCCGCAGCTCCACGCGGGCGCATTGGCTGCCGTGGACCCTCACGGACGCGATCCCGTTCTTGTCCGGGACGCTGTTTGGCGGCATCCCACTGCCTCGCGTGGCGCGCCGCGTTCCCTTCCCGTGCCGAAATGTGGCTCTGGCGCAGCTCCGCGCTGGTACTAACTGTGGCGCCCCCGGTCTTCCTTAGGGTGCAGGATTTAAGTGGTGTTTCAAACCACGTTTCGAAACAGCTGTTTCAAACCGCTGTTTTTAATTATTTCCAGAAAAAGTGCTGTTTCAAAACACGTGACCCGTGGTAAAATTAGGCAATTCACTGGTTTTAGACAGACTTTGGCTCATGCTGTAACAGCTATACTTACAGCTATAAAGGTAACATCCTAATCAACTATTGTTACTCTCCATTTAATGTCACTGGAGGTCTTTTAAAGGCTCCAAGTGTTACTATCACATCAGTGATAGGGTTACACCATATACAGACAACACAGAATATAACTTAGGATAGCAAGGGGTACCCTGAAAGCTTGAGAAATGGTGTAAAAGAACAAGTCAATACATATGCTAGCCCAAAAAATCATTCAAAAGGTCAAAAATTGCCATTTTAGGCAATTTTAATCAATCCCTATTTGCAAACCGGTTTCCAAATCGGCTGGGAGTTCAAACCGGTTTTAATAACCCCTCATAATTCAATCCTGCACCCTAGTCTTCCTCGCGGCCTCGCTACTGTACAACATTTCTCCGGAGGGCATGCTGGGCTTTGTCGGTGTGTATTCGGTTGCGCGGGGCATCCTCCTGGTGTTGCCGTTGTCCGCGCTGCGACTGCTCCCACTGGAGGCATTCAGAGATGTAGATTGGAGTGTCTATATTCCCCACTTCTAGTTGATGGTCATGATACTAGTAACTTGAAGTTTACTGGAAAAATACTCCAAAAATTCATTGTTTATTCAAGTCTCTTCTGACGTGTCTGAACATATCGTTCTGCTACCTCATTCGTAGTCTTTCCCAAGCCCATATCTGTCCACACTTTCTGATTCAACACACGCAACATATATTTGAGCAAGTCCTCAGGAGGGCTGGCGAGGCGGACAAAGCGCAAAGGAGCCAGCTTGACTGCGGCAACGAGAGACTTGTCGTTGGCATCATAAAGTCTGTTCTCAAAACACAACGAGAGGGATTCCAACTGGGGGACGTCGCCAATGATATCCCTGAATGATATGCCGCCAATGGATGGGAGGTTCATGAGCTCCAGCGAGGCAAATCGCGGGAGTGCTGGCCGAGTTTGAGCGTGTGGATCGCTGCGTCAAAGAAGCGCGGTCCAGAGCGAGACATGCAAAAGGCAGTTTTTGGAGAGCCGGAGATGTCGGGATACGGTGGCTTTCATAGCTTGATGTCTTGTTTTTGTCCAAGTAGTATATGTGAATGGTCGTCCAGAGGCCCGCGCTGGTGAGGAAGTAACAAGTTCGTTCCAAGTGCGAGAGACGAGGCGGAGGCCGTAGTGCGCGGTCATGCTTCTCTTGCAGAGGGAATTTCGCTCTGGAACACTCATGTTGATGAGCTCGCTCGAGGCCTACCACCCCGCATTCGTCAGCCTTGGATAAACTTCGTGGTGTTTGCTGTGGAATTCGAAAATGGTGCTCCAGATTTTGAGGGGAAGGTTGAAGGAGCGGCGATGCTTGACAGTATCGCCTGGTGCCAGACGCGACATCGCTCAGAGAGGTGTGTTTAGGAAGGAGATTGTGGCGGCAGGAGCCAAAACGCGGATCCGGGAGAGTCACTCCGGAGTCACACCATCGTGACTTCTTCCCAAACCACCACCAGCCGCTGGATAGCGCCGCCCCCTCCGTATTGGAAGATGGCTCATACGGCCGCTCGCCCTTCCGTTGATCGCGATGTCTGTCATCCCAGTGCTTGGCTTCTCTAGACAGTCACACAGCTTTTCTCTGACTGGACCTTCCGTCAAGCGAATCGAATCTTTCCGCTCTGTTGGTTGGAGGCGCGGAATTGGGAGAAGGCGGTGTGTGCACAGCTTCTGTGGCGGCCATGGACTGGCTGACTGCAGGGAAAGGTGCGTCATCCAATTTACTTTCTTTCGGGTCTGTGCTGACCCACATTCAAGTAGCGCCACAATTCTCAGGCTTATCCCTCACGGCCTACTGGCGCGCCCCTCATACCCATCTCTCAGACCTATACACAACGCCTGTTCATCCCCTTCGACAAGCATACCACCCTCAACTTTCTGCGCTAGATGTCCCGCGCCGCCAGCCGGTGGAGATGGCGAATGACTGAGGAACTAGACGATGGATGGTGTCGAATCTCCTTTCGTTAATGTGGTGCGTCTTTTGGTCGCCTCGCCACTCAATCGCACCATTGACTCCCTTTTTTTCTGCTCTTAGTTCATCGTGCCCAATGACACTATGGGTTTTTTCGGAGGAAAGGGTGGATGCGGAGTACTACGAGTGTATACGAAATCAGTGGGACTGGGACTGGCCCAATCCCACTGATGCTGCCCAGTCCCACTGATTCATCTCCCATCAGTGGGATTCGTGCAGTCAAATTTGACACATTCACGAGTCCCACTGATCAACGGGATCGTCGCGGGTATACCGGTTGCGGCGGCCGGGGTTTTCCACCCCGGACCCCGACCAGGGCCTTGCCCTGGACCCACCCTGCCGGGGGCTTCGCTCGCCGCGGGGGCCCGGTGCGCGGAGCATTCCTCCTCCTCCCTCCCCTTTTCTGCCATTTCCGGGCTCAAACAACCCTTGCCACACTGGGTTGCGGCGCCGGCCGCGACGGCTGGGGTTTTCCATCCCAGACCCCGACCAGGGCTTCGCCCCGGACCCCACGCTGCCGCGGGCTGCCGCTCGCCGCGGAGGCCTGCTGCGCAGCGCTGGGCTTGATCTCCGGCGTCACGCTGTGTCAAGCCCAAGAGCATCAATCCCACTGATCAGACGCTAAGCGAGCGTGATCAGTGGGACTGGGGTAGTCTCGGATACCCAGACGTTCGCTGAATCCTAGTAGCCGGATTTGTGTCCATATATGTTAATTGACGACGTGTTTGACATTTGATTGATGATAGAGAGGTGGGAAATTTTTTGGACGTACGAACGTCTGGGCCGGTCATCATAGTCACACCTACCGTCACTCGGCTTCAGCCCATAGCTATATAGCCGGGCATCCTCAAGGACCTCAGCACTACGCTGTCGGAGCGCTGGGTGCTGGCCCTCATCCCCCACAGGCCTTCCTTGAAGAGCCTGGCTTGCAAAGACGCGGAGGGGCACCCAGGATTGGTCCAGGAATTTGAGGCAGAGGAGTGACGGTAGGTGTCACTATGACGAGTGGCCCAGACGTTTATACGCCCTAAAATTTTCCCACCACCGCAACATCAATCAAATGTCAGAAATGTCATCCATTAACATATTTGGACACAAATCCGTTTGCTTCCCCCTCTTGAATTGCGTATAAACGTCTGGGTTTCCGAGACTAGACTGGGGCTGATCAGTGGGAGTGATGCGGACTTGACGAGTCCCACTCCCACTGATTTCGTTATCCCTCAAGTACTACTAAGGACGTTGTCGCAGCAGCGTATTCTAGCACAAGTACGCTTCCCTCCCTCCCTTCATACGCGGCTCTTGCTGATCTTCTTGTTCTTCTAGCCTCATTCTTCTTCGTGCGGAGCTTACCGCGGGAATGCCGCATAAGACAGAGATGGCGCTGGAACGAACTGGGTTTGTGTAGTGAGAATGACTGCTGGTGCGTGAAGCTGCACTTTTCTATCACCGCGTTTTGCTGACTCTTCCTGCCCAGATTACGCGGCTTAGCCAGGCGATTGGTTTCGTGCGGGGGACTGGTTCGGGAGGTCGACATGCGCGAGCTTGCAAACATCGCTTGGAGATGAGACGACGAGCACAACGTTCATTCGCTGCTTGTCCACCATCGACAAGCACTTCTCTCGATAAATCCCCTTGCAGGTTATCCTGCGAGAATCTCGGCAACAGGGAGGATGCTAGTAGAGAAATCAAAGGTCTTGTCATTGAGCGAGGAGCTGGGAATAGCCGGTAAGCACTCTATCGACCACCGCCAGATACTAAGTGTCCGTTTCAGTGGCATTATTCATGCAACACTACTGATACGACACCGTTTTCCAAAATGAATGGGAACGATTCACCATTCATTCTCGCATCGCTCTATGCCTGTCATGGTCTGCGCTCTTGCCAGTGTGAAGAAAACGGGTGATGGAATGTGTCTGTTTGGGGAGGCAAACTGGCCCGGGCCCGTCGAAGCGGAGCATTGTACGTTTATCATGGATGTGTATGCCTATCTTTCTCTGACTCTTGCATAGATATACTGCATATGTCTGCTTGAGTATCAAGGACGAACTAGTCGTGCTGCGTTGCGACTTCTTTTTGTGCCTTATCCATCGACTGTGTCATGTCCGTCTACTGCCGCTAAAGGTGTCGCAAGCCATTAGTACTCCCAATGGTGTGGTTTTGAATACACATGGGCAGTTGCTATATTTCCTCTTTCCTGTAGGTAGGGCTCCAATTATTTAGTTTTCCTTTAGTATCTTGGGTAAACTACATGAAAAGGGTTGAAAACCGTTTATAAACAGTTATAACCGTGTAAAAACAGTAAAAAATAGTTATTATATTTTCAAAAAAAGAAAGAAAAATCACAACTACAAAGAGAGAAAAGCCAGCCTTGATCCACATCTTTGTGAGCATCGCTTCCATGATTGTCTCTGCTTTCATCGATCCGCGGACTTCATGGCATAGATGGCGGGACTTTGAGAATAGTCGTTCGACCGACACACCTCGTACCGGGGATGGCAAGAAAGTCACGCGCCATCCATGATACAACGGGGTAATGATGTCCAAAATCCTATGAAAGCCTGACATGAGCAGTTCAGATAGATGGTGTGCGGCTCACCTTCCACCAATCTAATGGCTTCAACTTATCCTTTCCACGGCCATGTAGTCGAAATGCCGCTAAGAAGCGTTCTGCCTCGTCAAGTTCTCTGCTCGGCGCTGTGGGCTCAATGTCAGCGAAGTCGCAGACCCGATCCATGATAGAGCTTGATGTGCGGGACCCAGAAGTAGGTTGTACTGGCTCAGATGGTGTCCTCTTAACCTCGTATCGCTTCTTGTATGACTCGAAGACATGCTGGAATAGGATTTTCGCTTTGCGCTCGCGATCACCTTCTACAAGTGGCGGAGTACTAGTAGTCGAGGAAGTCCCATCTGGAGCCGCATCCGGAGTCACCGTGGTGGTCGGGTGCCCTGCTGGTGTGTTTGCGGCAGCGTCTTTACGATCCATACCTGTAAACCAGGCCAGGCCAAGTGCAGGGTGCAACACTAGATTGTTGTTAGCGAACGACTGGCACAGTAGTCACGGAACAAACATGTTGCAATGATGTTGAATTGTGATTTTTGAGCAAGATCGTAGTATTGCTGAAGTTTCAGCAAACCTGCCGATGCAGCCGTTCGGATTGCGAAGGGAAGTTCCAGATCGTCACGAGCAGTTTTGAGGTGATCAAGCATTTCTTCGTAAAGAGGAAGGACCCAGGGTAGTGTCGGCGTTGAAGAGTGAGACATTTGCAAGGTGACTTGAGTGAAAACCTGGCCCACGCCGAAAGAAATTAGTAACTGTTGGAATTTTCATCACGGAAAACTTACCTCCAAGACCGTTCCCAGAGCTTTCAGCATTCCCCATTCGTCATCTCCTAGGAGGAGTGGACGTAGCTCCGGCGCTCAAACAGCCACTTTTCGATAGCCTACAAAGTCATGATATGAGCACTGAGAAATAACAGCAAGATGATGACAAACTGATTGAAGCAATTCCCCCGTGAAATACTGACTTGCATATAGTTCCACCGATGTTTTACGTCGCAGATTGGCATGAGCGATGCGATTTTTCGACCTTCTGTGTTTTTTTTTGTGACATGAACTTTGTCGTGATATTCGGCCTCAGCGATTGCCCGAAACCGCTGTCGACGTTGGGGCGAAGAGCAAATCTTGATACAGGTAAGTCGAAACTAGAAAAGAATGTATGTTAGTAAATAGCAATTCAGACACAAGCATACAATTACCTTCTTCACCGTGCTCAATTTGGATAACTCGTCTTTTTTTGCGGCTAGGATATCAGTCTCCATGTCTCCGTCATCAACAGTCACCCCACAGTGCTCGGGTGAATCCTCCGCTTCGAGTGCTAAGAGGTCGGGCGTCCTCGTCAGGGTTGTAGTGAATAGGTAACTGTTTACTTTCTAAGTATCTATCAGTACCCGCATCCGGGTCCTCCTCCTCATCCAGCGCCGCAAGCATCTTTTGCACAACCAAGTTAACGACATGAGGCGAGGCACCGTATCTGAGAGTTGTCGGGGTTGAATTGGTAGTCGAACTTGGTCTGTAGGGCGCGTGCAAGCGAGCGACAGAGGACGTCATTGACGGACGCATTGTCTAGCGTGATTGCGGACATGTAAAATGGTCGGTGAGCTGATTATCCTAGTGGGAAGTTGCGAGTGAGACTTATCTTTTCTAAGATTCCGAGATCCAACATCCGCTGGGCCATCCCCGCGGCTGCATACTCCCCCAGTGTTCTCCTTATCTTGAATACACTGAAACCCAATAACGCGCTCGACCAGCTCCCAGTTCGGCGTTATGAACGATGCGATGGTTCCGGAAAAGGTGAATGCCATGGATCGAGTAGTCCATGTATCTTCGGACAGCGCAATAAGGGAGTCAATCGCCTAGACACAATTAGATGCGAGGTAGACTGAGGTTAGAGAGATACCTTGAGCTCGCGTTTGAGACACGAAAACATGTCGATATACATGCGGGCCAGTGTGTTACGAACCGTGGTATCACTTGGCAGCTTGAAACGAGACTCGATGTAAGCGAAGACGCGTTCAATGCCAGAGGATTCGCCAGTTGTCCACGGAAGATCAGCTTCAATCAACCAAGCGGCAAAAACCCGATAGAATCCCTCTTGAGAGCGTCGGATACGGGGGTGGAGCTTGCCCTCAAGCAAGAAATCTTCCATAATTTTGATTGATGCTGCTGTCTCTCCCCGTAATTGTCCGGGCGACGCAGGCGCTGCCTTCGGAGCGGCGAGTCCTGCATGTTTTTGCCGCACATGAGTTGCAAGATTCCCGAGTTGTGGCTGTTTGGCTTCGTCTTCCGAAGGTCTTTGTGTTGACAACGGTGCGGCGGAATGTGAAAGACCTGGACACACACATGAGAGTATAAAAAAGAAACGATATTGGACGCACGTTGCACAACCCGCGTGTAAGCAATGGAACTCCCAGCGTCGTTCTCCATCATAAGTGACCGCAACTGGGGCGGTAAAGTGCTCGCGCGACTTGCTTTTTGGTCCCCTCTTCCCGCTTTTGCGGGGAGTCGCGTCTGATTCAGCCTCTGTGGAGTCATCGACATCAATAACGTCGATTTGTGGAACTTTCTCTGAGTTCCCCTCGGCACTCTACAATCTGTAAGTATCGAGATAAGTTATGAGATGTGTAAACACACCTTCTTCGTGCGCTTCTTGCGCTTTTTGTTCTTATCCGCCCGCTTCCCGTCAATGGCAATCGCCTTGCGCTTCCGTGGCTGAAAATGTGCCGTTATATCCTGAGCAGACAGTCCACAAGACATACCTGAGCTTCACCCATGGCCGACTCTTCGAGATCATCATCCCCATCCTCCTCCGATAGGCGTTGTTGTCGGCCAGGCTGGAAGTCGGAGTCTTCGTCGCTGGATAAGACAGTGGTGGGGTTGGCTTTTGTGCCAGAATTCCGAGCGTTTGGAGGCCCTGTTTTTGTTGTTGCTTGCGGTTGGACTACATCCGACGATGGTTCAGACGTGGCGAAAGCACTGTCGGAGGGAGGTTAATAGTGGCCACAGTAGTGAAGTCGTCACGCACGAGAGGTGGGCCAACTCCGTGGCTAGTCGTTCCAGTTTAAGCAGGACGATGTCCGGCATGATTCCTGGCACATCCCACCGCGTAGAGCTGAGGTATTTGACCACACAGTCCATCCCATATTTGCCCCGACGAACGTTGACCAGCCTTCCTTCTTCGTTGCGGCAGTCCTCGCCATACAGTGCGTCGAAGCGGCGGTTGAAGTTTGAGGCAATGGTGTTGTCCGCACTCTTGACCTTCGTGATAATGCGATAGATGTCGTCGGTCTCCGAAGCCTCTGGGATAGACGAAGGAAGGTTTTGCGAAAGCAGCACGATGCGTTTCACGGTATCTTGAATGGTTTTTGCTAGGTAGATATCATCAGGCTCAGACAAGAACAATGCCAATTAATAGCGCACCAGCGATAAGTTTAGTGTGGGCGGCACTTGGCGCTTCACCATTGGCAGTGTCGAGCACCCGAGGGGCTGGGTTTCGTGGACGCTTGCCAGATGATTCCATGGGCAAGACACCAAGCCTGTCGCGCGTTTTAACGTGGACGACACGTATGTGCCACGTAGGGGGGCCGCGCAGCAGCGGAGTCGCCTAGCAGGATAAGCTGCGCTCGCCGACCATGTAGGCAGGAGGCTACGCGTCAGCATACGGCATCATGCTGTCACCTCGACTTCCTGATGGCCGCATTATTATTATTATTATTAAGGGCATAAGGTCCCAAATCTGGGTACCGCCCAACTCAAGAGGCCAGCGGGGGTGAGCTGTACCCTCCAGGGAGTACGTCGACCCCCTACCCGCTCTCCGCATGATCGGACTATTCGGGTCAGCTCATCAAAATAACTATGTATACCGTGTACTTTTCATTTGTTTACTGTTTACTAGAGGTGGTAAATAAAATGAAAATAAAAACGGTTTTAACCGTGTACAAATGTTTGTACACGGAAAACAGTTGGAGCCCTACCTGTAGGATGTTGTCACGGTTATCTAATATCTTGCTCGTCGACTCTCTTCACTTTGGGCAATTGCTATTGTCGGGATTCTACCAGTATGTGGTATTCTTCACACTTGTTGTGTCAGCGATGTGTAAGTAATCTATGTATCTGGATATTCTTCTTCGAGCTCAACTTTAAACTGTAGCTAGTATTTTGATTTGGCGTATTTCTCTCCCCTTGCGACTTGGCTTGCGGAACAACCACCCCCTCACGATTACCATCTACTGCTTGCTCTTCGCCACTGCAGTCAACGTGACCGCGCCGTTGCAGTTCGCTGCGACAATACGGCTCCCCTTCTCCACGAACTCATAGTAGTGTGATGCCACAGTGAGACCACGAACAATAATGCTCTGCAGCTTTGTCTGGTGAGGGACTCTTTTGCGCCAGACATCCGTGAAAGCCGCGATGTTGCCAAAGAGTTTTCGTTCACGCGAATCGCCGGGTTTCAGGTTATAGTGCTTGCACACAACTTCATAGATGATGGTGTGGAGGCGGCCAAGACCGGATCAGGTAGTCTGTGCTGCTTCCGGCTGCAGCTTAGAGCCAACAAGTCATGTATCAGGTCGTGCGCAAAATGGTTTCTGCTCATACAATGGTTGCTTCACGTCGAGCTGGCGCAGAGGCCGGAGGTTGTCAAGAAGGCACATGAGGCTGGGTCCATCGATATTGACAACATATTGCAAAGCAAGTGTGGTAACGCCGCTGTAGTTCTGCATCAGTCGGCCGCCGACAACGGCAAGTTCGCTGTGGTACTGGTACAGACAGAACTGGTTCTCGGAACCTGCAGTTATTATGAGATGCTGCAGCGATGGGACAGCCAGCACAGCTAAGTAGGTGGACCAGCTCGGTAATTGGTTATCAATTATTAAATGCTTTAACCCACGGTGAGTAATGGCTGCATGGGTCACGGGCGGGATCAACCTGGACCGGTGGATAAACTTGAACAGACTAGCGGATTCGACTTTCGCAGCAGCTGGATGTGCGAGATAGTAGACAAGGAGGTCAAGAGTGTCGCAAGCGAGAAAACGGATGTCGGCCCAGTTGATGTGGTCCCGCAACTCCCTGGCGGCATGGCCGAGTGGGTCCCCACTGGCAAGGCTCAAGTTGCGCAATGGCGCTTTCTTGATGGCAGCGAGGAAAGATTTCCCATGAACCACGGGTACATGTGACTCGGAGGATTGAGAGAAGCGCTGGAGATGAGAAAGGTCGAGAATATTCAGCTTGTCGATGTAGCGTATGTTGACAAGATCCAGGGAAACGAAGCGCCCGAAGTTTTCAAAGAGGGTGCGCAGGACTGGTGATGCGACGTCGACAAATGGATCATACTCCTTGTGATTGTTAGTGCCAGCGAAGAGAATGACTCTAAGGAGGGCGCTGCTGCGACAGTTTGAGATGTTCTTCGAGCACTATTTGCCAGTGCCCGGTTTGTCTGTTTAGGCGTGCCGGCTCCATGCAAAGGTAGAATCGTCGTCCAGAGCGCTGTTGCACATGACCATCTGTTTCCAAGCGCGACACACAAGTCGGAGGCGGTAGTGTACCGTCATGCATCGCCAGAGAGGATCGTCAGATCTAATGGGGTAGAGCAGCCCATGCGAGTTTCGGACATCGGCGGTAGCGTACAGTTGAGCTCTTTCATGGTCAATTTCAAAGATACGGTCCCAAATTTCAGGGTGGAGGTCAGGATAGCTGCGGGAGTGGTCGTCCTGTTCTCCAGGGGTAGTTTGTTGGGTCAGACGCGACATCGGCGCCAGCTACGTGGCTGTAAGAGAAGAGTCTGTCACGCCTGAGTCATCGACAAGTCACATCATGATTCAAGTCAAGATTCAAGTAAGTCTCTGGATCGTCTGCGGCCGGACTCAGGCTGCATCAATGGCAACTTGCGAGTGGTCCTGAGATGGGTAGACAGGCGGCGAGACAAAAGGCATACTTAAAGGCGGGTAGATTATGCACTGGCATATGTGTATAGCAACAAGTCCACGTTAGTAGGCAACGGCAAGCCGAGTTCGTCTTCGGCTGCCCCAGTAACAACTGCAACGACGTACTCATCAGCATCCCTATTACTGAGCTGACATCGATGCTAGCTTGAAACCAGTAGATCTGCGCCAAACCGGATGCCGCAGTAGTCGGAGTAGATGGAGGTGTTTTGAGATAGACTTTGTTCGCGTCGCAAGCAATAACAGGGGAGCGAGAAGGAGGACCAGCTAGTTATCGTCTTTAATCGTTGACAGATTGAATAAGCCCAAGTTCACGCACTGTGCGGGCCATGTCGTTGACGGAATAGTATTGGCACAAGGAATCCACGCGTCGCGAATTTGCGGGATGGCAGCCGCGAGGCCTAGGTAAGTAATGAGCCTGAGGAGACTGAAGGCCAGCGAGAGACCGCCGGGCAATGCACCCATCAACACACCAGTCTCCTTCGCCAATATTTATTCGTCTCCTTCCTGCTTTCCTTGAGCCCAGTGTTTCCAGCAACTACCTTGCGCCTTCCGGCTCTAGCGCAAGGCAGGGTTTCCCTTGGTGTTCGAGAAGTTCGCATGGCCGCAGGGTTAACTAGTATCGCGCAAAGACCAGAGGGGATTGACATTGCTGGGTAAGCCGTGGCCCGTCAGGAAAGTGCCACAGGTAGAGACCGTTGCTATACACACCTTCAGCCACCTGTTTGTCATTCCGCGTCGGTATGTCACCGCCGTGCCCACTAGATGTTCTCGGCGGCGCGCCACGTAGCTTTCTCAGCCTTTCTGCGCTATACGGAGGACACAGACGAATCGCGCTGCAAAAAAGTAAAATGTCAGGGTAACAACAGGCAAAAGCGCGGCTGCACATACTCGTCTGAGGCAGGCAGATATCGGCGGTGCTGTCGAGCACCGACACCGGCCCGGGAACGAGGGGCCCGGGCTTGAGCTCGATGTGCGAGTCGTCGTCGTACGCGTGGTGGTGAAACGCAAAGAAGAAGATCGAGATCACATGCCGCCTCGGCCCGATCCTCCTTCGCCTCTTCCACAACGACCACGACACCAACACTGGCTCATACTTCCCCGCTCCCCACCGCGCGACACATGCTGCTCACGCACATCGTCGCTGCTGCTGAGGGTGAAAACAGATCCTCCTAAGCTTAGCCGCTTTCGCTGACCATCTTCTTCGCCCGGGCGGAGCGGCCAAACAGGCGTGGGGCTGCGGGACAAGATGGAGCTGCTGGGACAGGCGGAGGTGGCGGTGGTGTGATGCGTGATACGCCGACCGGGAAGTAATCCAGGGCGTTGACGAGCACTTGTGTCGACTACTGTATTTGAGTTTCGATGTGTTGCGTTGTTCTTGGCCTGCCGGTGATACACCGGTACCTGGACGTCGGTCTAAAGCAAGAACAGTGAGAAATGTAATCGTGACTGCGAGCGGGTCTGCTGCCACACACCTCTAGGCGGCTTCACAGTCGCACAAGACACCGTGCAGCACGCTTTCGATCGACTCCTCCTCCATCTCCAATATCGACCTGGGAAGAGCCGGCAGAGGCAGTGCAGCTTAGGGCGAATATGCTTGAGATATCATCGCTTGGAACAGCAAAGAGTGTGTGCTGCAGCGAAAATTCGTCGACGACAAGCGAGGGATACCGGCTGGGTAGGGAACCGCTGGTCGGGAAGACAGGGAAGACGCAGTTGTGGATTGCGTGATAAATTGTGCAAGCTGCTTCGCGCTCTCGCGTGTGCAGACAGGCGCCACTGTTTCGCCATGGATCATACTAGCCCCCCGCCGCCTCGCGCTTGTTGTCGGGGCAATCGGATTGGATTTGAAGGGGTGCATGGCGAGCGAGAGGTGGCAATACGCTGGCGCAAGAGGTAATAGCCTGAGGGCCCCGCCCCAAAAGAGCTGTCGCTGTCCTCGCCGTCAGCGAGAAGCTTATGGAATAGGCAAGCACGCACGTTGTGTCGCCGGCAGGGCGGATTGGCCTCCCTTGCCTGCAAATTCGTTGCGGCGTAGATATGTACGGTGGAGCGTGTGGTCTAACTCCTGCGGAAATGGGATAGAGAGCCCTTGCTCCCCAGCCGGTCTACGACGAATCAGCACTTTCGCAAAGCAGCGGAGATGGCGACACACCGTCTGCAGAGCACAGCACACTCCGGACATCTACACCTCTTTCCCAGCCCTCTATGCCCCCGTCCCGTTAACCAGCAAAGTGTTCGAATGGTGCACTATCCGCAGAACTCGCGCTTCAGCACGCAGGTGGCAAATCAGGAAATGGAATGGACTTACGTGGGGCCTACATGCCGTGCTCCTCGGATTCAGGAGCGGGACCCCATCTCTGACGATGATGACCAGCTAACGTGGCGCTCGAAGGAGGCAGTGGCGTGTGCGCTGGTCGTCGTGGTGGTGCTGAGCAAAGATCGGGAAGTCACATGTCTTCGGGCCGATCTCGCCTCTCTCTTTTATACCACGACCATGCCACGAAAACCTGTCGCCCAGCGCGGTGGCTCTCGACGTGCGCTCTCGGGACGGCTGGAAGATGCTGGGATAGCCTCACGGTGTGTCTATTTCCCAGTTTCGCTGCCAGCTGTGCTGACCGTCCCGGCCAGTACGACTGTACGAATCTGCGGGCGCTGCGAAGCTGGCCGGAACAATGGCATTGGGAATCGGGATGGATGGAAATCGAAGACAAATCACTCATAACGGGTTAGCGGGCTCGGATGATAGTGCGTTGGGCCTTTCCTACTGCTGTCTGTGCTTACCGGCGTACGCGCCGCAGGCGCAATCCGCTGCCCAGCACATCTCTCCTCCTGCGACCCGGGGCCTCCTCTCTTCGCTCGAAGAGTACCGCCTTTCAACGCGTGTCGTCACTCACCAGTCTGGTCTGTTCCCCCCTTGCGCTCCCACCAATTGCACCGACGACAAAAAAACCTTCCACAGCTCGCGCTCGAGATAGCGGCCTTGGGCGCATTGGGGGCTAATGCATTGCTGCCGCGGAGACCATATTCGAGCGTATAGCGGGTTAACGGTGCGTGGCCACACCCATCCGCCTCATACACCTTCTGACTTTGCTCGTCAGACTTTCACTGCCCACCAGCGCCAGCATCTGGTACCACTTCATCCCCTCCGCGACGGATGCTAGTGTCGAAGGCGACGCTTCTCAAGCATCTGAATGTGGCCAGCATATACGCCGCGCCTTTTTTTTCATATACACTGTCGCCACCGACTTAATACTTATACCTCCCTTTACGGCCCCCGCCCGTCGGGCAACATCCTCCCTTGGTCCAACCTTTGAAAACCAATTCAACGCCCCCGTCTCACTTGTACCCTCATTCCTGCCCCCTCCTCAGGCTCCTGCGCCTCTCACGCCAGCTCCCGCCAAAACGTGCCCGTTGGCTATTTTTACGCGGGCAGCGGCACGTATTACTACGACGACCGTATAGATAGACAAACTTCTCTCTTCAAAGTTGGACTGTCATCGCAAACACATTTTCGGCACGGCCGCCGCTGTGCGGCAGGCGGGAAGCTTTTTTGGTGGAGAGGTCGTGTGGGTGGGTGGCTGCTGCGAGAGTGCCTACTACCTAGTGCTGCCGCCGGGCGCCTACTTCAAACAACTTCCTCAGATATTCTTCGAATCATAACCATCTGCTGTCGTACAACGACTGGATGTGAAGGCAATATTCGTGCCATCTTGCCCGAGTTAGGTCTTAATTTCTGGGATATTCATAGTCCTGTTACATACTTCAAGTTATTGTACGCGACCTCTTCTTCGTGCCGGAATCAGTACTTTACCTGAATATAATGTATTGCAAGTACTAGCTATGGCTCCATCAATCACCAATGTTGTTTCGCCTCACTATTGTTCAACCTCACTCCGGGGTACGCGAATCGGCCGCAGCACTGCCGCAGCAGCCGCTGCAGCGGCACTTTGCACAGCCACGGTGAGCGGCAACTCAAGTAGGTGGTTCATACACATTAAATCCTTATACTTGTCTACATTTTGAAGAGAATAATTCAATTTACACTTGTATTAACAGTTAGAATAGAGTACAGTTGTGTTAAAGCCTTACAAAAATGCCTCATCAAAATTGGCACAAACAATGGTAAACAGCCGCAGACGGCTCTGACGCGGCCGCAGCGGCACTTTGCAGCGGCAGATGCTGACTGCCGCATCCCACTGCCGCTGCTGACATCGGACCTGCAGCGGCAGTGCAGCGGTCGTGCTGCGGCAGTGCAGCGGTCATGAGGCGGTCGTGCTGCGGCAGTGGTGCGGCAGTGGTGCGGCAGTGGTGCGGCACCCCAGCGGGACCGTCACACTGCCGCTACACACACGGTTACCGCTAGGAGCACTGCCGCGCGCTGAAGGCGACTTCTCCCTTGAGTCGGCGACGGCGTTGTTACGAAAAAAGCGTCACCTGACACAACACAGCCACACGCATCTTGCCTTCGACATCCATCTGCGAGATGGAGAACACCATTGTGTGGCTTCTGGGCGCCTCTAACGCCCTACTCGTCATCATCCTAGGCCTATATCACGCCTCTGACATTGCTTCCACGGCGTCTGCGTGGCTCACTTTGCTTGCAGCCCATGTCAACGTGGCAGCCTTTGCGATCTATGGGCTGGTACTTCTGGTGCTGTTTCTTGGCTTCTGGAGGCTGACGACGACCGTCAACCTGCTTTCCTCCGAGTTCCCTGGTCTTGACCCAGGCCTTTGGGCTACTTTGGGAGAGCCACTTCGCTTGCTGACGTATCACTTTCGTCAAGGTGAGATTGACGGTGCCGAAGGACGAGCCGCAACAATTGCAGCCGCCTTCTGGATCACTTTGGCAATACAGCAGAATCTCAATGAACCATGGGATCTCGGCGCAAGCACTTATCTTGATATACAGGCTGGCCTGTTGGTTGAAACGCCCACAATTTCGCTCACGCGGAAAGCCATCAAAGCTATGCAGATGGCTGCAACCGGTACAACTCACCTAGTCAACTCATACCTGCGTTGGACTTCACCCCACTCGGTCGTCTTCTATGAGCATGCTCAGGCTACTGTACCTGAGCAAACTCAAATTCAAGCTCTTCGGTTATTCATTCCACTTCGCTATCAAGGGCGTCCAATTTCCTATTCGGAGGACCTTCCCGATGTCGAAGCTCGACCTATCCCAAAGCAGAGAAAGCAAGTCCGCTTTGCAGTCGATGACCCTGTGATGCCAAATATCCCCCCCAAACGAGCAGCAGAGGATGCTCTTGATGGTTCTGCTTCACGAGCGAAGCGCAGTCGGCATGCAGTCGGTGTACAGTCCACAGATGTCCAAATCCCTGGACGTCGGGTACAAAGTAGGCACTCGAGTTGGTTTGTGCCCAAGGTATGTATTTCTTGTGTCCTTCTTTTTACTAGCCACTTAGTCTAGAGCAGGGACACCAACTTCCAGATGGTATGAGCTGGGACGACGATTATCAGGTTGCATATGAACGGGTATGTTGAGTTAATCCCTAATACTGTTCAGGCTCACAATTTTCTTTTTTTTCACAGAGATCTCTGTTGCTCGCATATGGTATCATTGATGATGATGAGATATTTGATGATTGAAACATTTATATATTCACATTTTGTACCTGGAGATGAATCTGCCTTGGAAATATCCTGCCTGGTCATCTGTCTGCAAAAACTGTCATTGCTATCATGAGCTTTATAATTCCAAAGCCTGGATATATTATTAAGACTTGTACCTTGGTAAGAGCATGTGTGGGAGAGCAAAGTATACATGGTATGGTTCACATTGGATCCACCTCTTTCCTGTAGATCTACAGAAACCAATTTACTAAAAAAGGAAATTTGTGATATATGCCTGCTATTGAGATGTGCATGGCTATCTAAGGTTTGATGAGAGCCTCTGAGTCTTCTACACCTAGCTTTCATCTGCTACAACATAGATTTCAACAACTTAAACCACTATAAGCTGTTAGAATTATTATCTTAAATGTCTTGGATATTCAATACTAGAAATCTCTGTAGTAGACATAATATTAACACTTGGCCTTCTGGTACACTATCCATTGGGCATACATCTCACCAGCAGTGCAGCGGCCATCTCACCCGCAGTGCAGCAGTGCTGCAGCACTGACGCGGCACTGTAGCGGCACTGTAGCGGCACTGCTGCGGCACTGCTGCAGCACTGCAGCGGCACTGCTGCGGCTGCAGCGGCCAATTAGTGTAGCCCACCTCACTCCGTTCAACAATCTCCGCAACCGCTTCCCAGCGGAGCTCGAGAAGCTGTGCTTCAGCCAGAGCAGCAAGCTCGGCCTCCGTGGCCTCGCCATCAAGCTCGTCAACTTCGTCTGACCACGCATTGCCAATATGTTTCAACTCCGGGAACAGCGAGCGGAGGAATCGGGCCATCAGCGCCGGGTCCCCGACATGTGTGTGCCCGACATACAGTTCCGTCAGCATACTGGCGGATGAAATGCCCACCGCCGGCAACGGCCCAGTGCCGCCGTCCATAGTCAGTCGTACCAGGAACTGCAACGTCGTGTGTCGCGCCGCGATTACCAGCGCGCCAAGGGTTAACCGTGTGGTGGTCTTTGGATGGGTTAAGCACAGCCGCTCGAGCTGCTGGAGCTGCCCAAGGAACGCGGCGAGCGCGTCATCGTCCAAATCGAATCCGCCAGGAGCCGCCAGCGCAACATTGGTCAGGCCGGTAAACCGCGAGGTGTGCCAGCGCCGATGCACTGATTCGCCAGTCGCCTTCCCATCGCCCTTCTGCCTCCGACAACAGATGGATAATCGTAAATTTGCGCAGCACCTGAATGGGCCCCGGCAGCGCTGCAAGCCCAGAGATGACCGCCGACACAAGTGTGGTGGTTGTCGACAGGTCGGGATCGAGATAGAAGCTGTTCAGCGGAGAGGCGCGAATCGTCGGCAAGAAACGGATAATGTCGTTCAAGTCGGAGCTATACCAGCTGGAGTCATTCAATGCGGGAAAAGACTCGTGTTGGGAATTGTGGCACGGACAAATATCGAAAGTGCCCTGGACTATGAGTGACTCAAGGGTCGGAAGCGAAGAGAGGTGGCAAAACGCTTGTTGATCCACAGGCGCCTAGTTTTC